ATTCAATGAATCTGAACCAAACCTACCACAGTGCATTAATAAAGCAATAATTAATTTAACTTTGTTAAGTACAAGTTCAATGTCAAATTGCCCAGATGTTGAGTCGGTGATGGTTCATGGCACAAGTATGTCCTGTCACGATTGCGCTCTTAAATTGGACATAGAATGCACAGTGATTTTTATTTCTGTATTTTAAGTTTAACCCTACCGTCTTCTGGGACTAGAGAATTCATAATCAATTTACTTGCCTTCACGATGGCCCACAAATGTTGCGCCTATTTCCTGAATCACCCTGTAGATACGATTAGGAGCAGCTTGCGTTTTAAATTTTTCATATTGTATTATTTCAGATAAGAATCAAAACGTTAGTATTATTACAATAATTGTGGCAAAAGCTAAGGATATTTTACGTTAGTTGTATTTTTAGGTAAACTCAAACTGTTACGTTCACGTCAAGTGGGTTGTCACACCGACGGTGGCAAGCATAGATTAGGAATGATCAAACGTTGGCGATAAAATTTTCTAGGTGGTAAGATGAAAGTAAGGAACGTTTGCTTGAGCTTACAGAGACAAACGTTCTGGTAGTTTTAGCGTGACATGCGAAAAACCGTGAAGTGAACTACACTAATATATCTTCCGTATAAAGTATTGGAATTTTTCTAGCAAAATTGTACTTGATTTTTTTATCCTTCAATTTATTGTTTTTGGTAATAATCGAGAGCATAAAATTGTGCAAACTTTTTATTTGTGATTTTAACAGAGGTTTCACGAAAATCCTTTCAGTGAAACCGGGCTACCATTTTTCGGTATGTTCGTGTCTTACGGTGCCCCACTAACAGTTCATCATGCAAATCGACTGTCTCGTGCTTTAATAATGAGGTAACTAAAAGAAAAAAAATATCTATTATTACCGCAAAATTAATTCCAGTCGATTACAAACCATCTAAAATCCCCAGATCTGTCCACTTCCGCATAGTGAACCAGACATCCAAGCGACTGTGATTTTCGCGCATCCGCATGCACATCCTATTGGAACGGTTTCCTAGTTGATACCATGTGGAAATGGACAAAGGCACCGCCTAATTGATGCCCGAGTCCAATCGATTAGTAAATAGCGTCACTTACGGTCGCTATTATGTTGGCTAGTTCCGCGACCGAAGCTCTTTCTTCTCTTCGACACTATTTTCGGACAATACTGAAAAGGCTGTTGCACTGCACGACCTATATTTGCGGGATCTTGGAGTAGACGAAGTAATTGACCGTACTGCAGAAAGTTTGCTTTGGAGACGAAATCTCAAAGCTACTTTCCGTTATGCGGCGGAGTTATTACATACAAGTCCAATTCGATGTTCTGTAACAATTTGGACTATGCCACCTATTTTCTCTCCCTATCTAACAGCAGTTTGTTCCTTGTTTCTATACTTCCAGATGGGGATTGATACGCCCTATTTCCCCTGAATAATCAGTGGCCAATCAAATATCCGGATATACTGTTTTAAATTAAATGCTTCACTACTATAATATCTAACCTCTTTTGGTATTTGTACATAAGTAATTCGTGCAACTCTATTTACGCTGGTTAAGGAGCTCTGAGTGAGATAGCTTCTTCCTAGCCACACTTATCGGCTTCCGCGTTGTCCTAAATTGCTATTTCACTTAGTACCCACAACAGTATATGCATTTTCCAAAGAAGTCGAATAACAGACTTTTAGGCAAATCATAAATATAGGTCACTAGCAACGCTTAAGGCGAGGATCACAGGGTACTACTGAATTTAGAAAATTTTAAATTAATAGTTCGAAAATAAATCGTGTAATCTCAGGCGTACGCCCCCGAAAGCACTGATTAATGTATTCTATCTAAAGATAGCCAACATAATACTATACTTCCGCGTCCAAAGAATTATCCGAGATATAATGAAATACCGAAGCGTCACCTATGAGAATTTGTCACAGCTACGCTTATCGTTTTCGCACTACTAGTAATCTACTTTAAAAAGGTTGGTGACTTGTAGATGGTGCTGCAGCCAAATATATGCTATATGCTAATATAGTTGAATGAAGCGTAGTCTATGTCAAAGTAGATTTCTAATTTGTATGGAGAGTAGGAACATAGCTGTGACCAATTCTCATAGATGACGCTACCTCACTTCACCTGGGATAATATTGTGGACGCGGGAATATAGTATCGATTAGTTACAACTTGGTTATATTCAGGTAGAAGGCGTTTATCAATGTTGAAAGCTAATTAGCTAGGGGACAAATTACAAGTTTTACGAATAACTCCTGTTTTTATAAAGTAAAAAATTCACCCGCGAAAATTGGATTTGAAACCTTATGAAAATTGAAGTTCTCAAAAACTGTTACTTTTACCCTAGCTTTTCAGCTTTTGGGGCCCTACACGGAATATTCCACGATGTGGTTTAGTAATAAAAGTGAACTATTGTTTGAAATTAAAATTTCAGCTACCCCCAATACTCTGCAAAGCCCGCCTTAATGCATATCTTACAGGTCGCAAGATGTTATATCTTAAAATAGTCATCTTTATGGACAAAATAATGCTACCGGTATTATTTTTGTTTATTTTCATGTCTGCAAGTTACATAAACTTTAGTCTATATATGTACACATATGCGTTATATATGACGTAGAAGACAATGAGATCACGAAATTCATTCATGCTATCGAATAAAAATCTGTTTCTTGACTATTGGTTGGAGGAATGGGTCAAGTGTTTCAACATGATATAACGAGATAAATACTTGGTAAGTTCTGAAAACCCTATGATACTTTACGGGCGGATTTCACCTGGATTGTCAAATCAACAGTCCGTTATTCTCCACTTATAGGGTAACAGTCCGTCAAATACACCGAATGAGCTTCAAGTTCCAATCAACAGATTTGACCAACCAGTAGCTATGAAATTTTAAAAACAAAATATTGTCAAAGTATAAGTAGCTTATTGAATATTGAGAAATAACACATAATTCAGCCAAAATTTAAAAAAGTGTTTGATTTTTGAATAAAATTTGTTTTTATTTAATATTTTCGATTGTTTATTCATGTTCATATTATTTTCTTCAATTGATATGTGATTTTACTGATTTGACATCACCTACCGTGTATTTTTTCCTATAAACCTCTTGCAGATAGCCATTAAGCACCTAGTTGATGACAGGCTTTAGCAAAAGTTTAATAGAAATTGCTCGTTTCCAAACATTCATTCATTTACTTGCCGGTCATCAGTACCATTATAGCACCGCCGATTGATATTCCCACAAAACCATTCAGGATTTTTGATATCCATACATCCATAAAGTCAAATATTTTTCGTTGTCCAGGAACTGAACAAACATCCACACTATATTTACAGCGATTAGGAAATACCCAAATATATGCCGTAAAGCTACCAGGAGACCTAAAACCTGCAAAAAACTAGGATTTGTAATAACTTTCTTATTTCACTGGGTACACAATCTAGGTTATATTTATATTAGATATTATTTGAATAACAGCTGATTATTATATTTCAAAACTCTCCAACGAGTGACACATGTGTGGGATCCGGCAACGCTTGGTTCCACTAGAGTAAGCTCCGCCAACTGTTGAAATATACTCTACTATCCTTTATAAGTATACGTGGAATTTTTCCCAAAATCGCACAACACTTGAAAAAATGCAAATGAAAATTTAAAATTATTTCCATGACGCCCCAACTAACTGGGATATTCGATACGATCCTATATTTAGGAGTATCGATACTTTTGCTTCCCATACCCGATATTTTCTATCGATATTTTTATATACGACACTTGAGTGTCGATACGTTTCACGAGTATCGTCATCTTTTGATCCGGACTGTGTCAGAAAGAGTGACTAACTTCAGATTACTTTTCTTCTTTGTTTTCTTGCAAATTTCAGATTGTCTATGCATGGACTTGAACCACATTTTTCGGTATTGTTACAGAAATGAGAATATTTACCGATAACACCATTCTCCACGATTTTTCAATTTAATTTAAATATTTCCATACTTCCATACAAGTTAATTTTATGTATTCTTTTAGTTTTATGCCCCATATCAATAATCATCCATATGCTTACAGTGGCAGCTGGTGGCAAAATAAAACAGGTGTCCTGCAAATCCAAACTTACCTATTTCTTATATGTCAGTTCGATCCTGCATTGCTTCTTGGCAGCAAATTTGTCGATCACCTTCCCGGTGAAATATTCCATGGTCGAAATAAATTCCTTTTCAATGGACAGCATCGACAGGCGATCCTGGGTCATAGTATTACGAAGAAAAGTCTTGATTCTTTTCAATGTTGAGAAATTTCGCTCAGCCTCTGATGTTGACATAGGAGTTGTAACAGTAATTTCTAATAGCTTTCTTGTTTCTTTTAGTGTTTCCTCCAAACTATTTTGTATCAAAAATTTCAAAAGAGACAGAGTTCCATGTAAGTCTCGGCAATCAGTCCGTGCATAAATAACAGACAACTCTGTCTTTAAACGTCTTTTTTTTAATTCGGGATAAGCCAAGCAGGTAGTTTCCAACTTGTCATCAGGAAACTTACCACAGTATTCTTCAAAGTGTTCGGGGAAAAAAAGGGATGCGGCTACCAAATGATTTTTGATTTGAAATCTGTCGTTTTGCAGAATTCACCATATTGTCGCATACTTCTAATGCGGCAGCTCGGTGATCGTGACTGCTATTATCACGTCGTCTCCTTTTGTTGCCTTGGGGTTCAGTGTAAATACTTTTGGCTTCATTTATTATGTCATCAATTTTATTTCTCACATCGACAATACATGTTTCAAAATTATCGATAGCCGTTTTAACTTGCGCTGGCTAGGTTTTTCTCTTCTGCAACTGGTTGAACAAGATGTCGACGTGAGGCATGCATGATGAAAAAATGTCAACCAAAACACGAAAACAGAATCGTTTAACATACGGCGAATCCCGCAAGCTGCCTTGCAAGCGGTTTCATTAGTGAAATTTTATCCTACTTCTTCCATTCAATGAGTGATTTTCTGTTCTCAAACACTATATTTATTGTTGGAATATTAAAATTACGAGTTGTTGCTCCTTGTGGAATTTTTTCCCCACAATTCTGTTCAGTACCTCTACGCGGTGATGAGAATTATTAAAAAATCCCGGAATATCTTTCAAATCCCCAAATAACACCCGAACTTGAGCATTTGCGGAAGCAGCTTGGGACATAATCAGGTTTAACTGATGCGCATAGCAATGCACATAGTGAGCAAATGGATATCTTTGTTTAATTTTTGCCTGTACTCCAGCATTATGTCCGCTCATTACCGCGGCTCCATCACATTGTTAGGGAAATTCCCTATTAATGGATCTTCAACGCTCAAAATATTACTTGTGAGATTATCAGCGTCACATTTTTCGGGACTGATATAATTCCAAAAACGTTCTGGTGGTTCGCCGTTAAATACGTATCTGAAAATTGTTACCAGTTTTGTTTTCCCCGAAATGTCCGATGTTTCGTCTGCATGCTTCTTAATTTTTTCACTCAGGTGCACTAGATCTGTAACACCTACCTCCGTCCAAGCTTTGTCACCCCCGAAAAGTATGCAAGAAAACCAGAAAAGGGCATTCTTAATGTTGCACCCACAAATCCAGTCATGTCTGTGGTAAATCTCGCTGCTGAAATGCAGTATAGCCCTTGCCCCGACTAAAGCCATGTGTTTCTATAAATATGTCCGGCAGCGGTCGACCTGACACCTTCAGCTCAATTTTTTCTTCAAATGTGTATTTCCAGAATCGTTTCACGCTGATAAGTCTGTAAACCACATCCATTATCCTGCACTACCCTTCTACACAGCCACAGCCAGTCAGTCACTAGTCACTCAACGTAAGACCCAAAATACCTGAATAAAAAATTTTTCGCATTCAAATTTTAAGCCACGTCACGCGACAAGACCAATATGCCAATACCGAGGACCGAGCACCAACCGACCAATCAGATATCGTACTTCGCATTAGATCTGTACGGATCTGCAAAAATTGCAGCACATGCTTATGCTTAAATCGGGCATCTGATTTTGTAGAGAGAGACAAAAGCAAACGCGTGCGGCTTGTGTCGAAGTAGTGCACAGACCCTTTTCAAGTGGCCCATGAATAGTGTTAAGCTGCGGTCGCGGCGAAAATGACAAGTACACAATTGGTCGATTATAACGCCGCAAAAAAGACTCGACGCCGTGTCTTGCGGGAGCAGGCCAGTATTGTTCCTATTTGTGTGATAACATTGAAAATAAATAATGATCAAGTTACTACTGCTTATTTCTGTAAAGACAACAGTTTTGGCGGTTTTGCAGCTCTGCAGAACTTAAGGGCCAGCCGCCACTGTATGCATACACACTCAGGCAGTCGGGCACATGACAGGCATAGATTTGGGTTGCCTATGATTACGAACGCACATCCTCATCCGTTCCTCCAGTTGCCCTGAATTCTTTTTTGTGCGTACAAAAGGTACAGACTGGTGGATTACAATCATTACCTCACCACAGCACAAGCAATAAAGAAACCGGAACCTGTCTGTTTTCAAAATAAATATTTAAATAAAATGTGTTCATGAGTTCAGGGGTTAAACACCAAAATATTCACAATCCATGCAAGAATCGAAAAAGGAGTTTGCAGAATGGTTGCAAAGTACTTTGAAAGAGCGACCAGTGTGCACGTTGTACAAGTTGTAATATAGAACTATTCCCTCAAAAAACATGTTGTGTGCGCACTCAATAAAATAATAGAAGTTTTTCATGACTCAAAGGTCCTTGATCCACCACTGATCTTGGGACGGCATTTTCCTTATACCGAATTCAACGACACTGCCGATTCCATTTTTTTTGCCGTTTCGGCAACAATGCAGATCAGTTCAAAAGCAATTTATATCCCAGAAGTTTTTTTTTATACTCCAACTACCACGAAGGCCTAAGGCCTAAACAGCCGTGAGGCTATAGGTGGATACAGGGGGAACGCCACACGGACTGTGGAGAGGGAACACATGCATACATTCTGGACCGCCTACGAGATCCGACAGGTGGTACCTCTGCGTTCTACAGTCAGAGACCGTCTACCATCTACCGACAATCACAACATCCATACCCAAGGGAAAAATATATTATCCTAAATAGGTATTTTTGATTCTGACATAATATCTAGACGATGAATAATAGGTGGATGCGGATACATTCACAAATATCGATGTTGTAGGGCTCAGAAATGCAGAAGGTGCAGTTTGTTTACATATATACCAAATAACTGAATGACAGTAGCGCTCCCCCTGAGAGGAATTCTTGCGGACGCACATGATCGTTGCTGTGACTAATCTTGCTTGGATGACGATCTGGACTTGGGCATACCACCCCACAGCAGCACGGGAGTGATTGCAGACTGCGGCGCACCACCATTAGCCGAAATGTAGCGCGCAACAAAAAAGTAACTGAAAATGATCAGGAGCCTGTGAAACATGGAAAAAAGTTTGTGAGATTTTTATATCATTTTCATTGTATTACTTGCTTCTAAAGCCCTCTTTTCATACGGTACCTTACCTTAGTTTACTGATAATGATGCGTGACCTCATTGTGGAATTCAACCATAGCTGCTAAAATCGTCACAGTTTTGGTCATCTTGTCAACAAGCATGAAAAAGGTACCACCCAGCAACAAGTCTGAGCAAAAAGGATCATAATCGCAACAGGAAGATGTTCTGAATTGCCTCATCAGCCACTGCCGCAAAAACCGCATTACAGCTTTGTATGTCGCTTTCTCACTTATATACTGAGTGACAAAAAAAGGTAAACACCTAAGTATGTGTATCCGATTTTAAAAATTTTTGAAATATATTATATTCAGTGTCACATACTAGTAAAATGATTAAATTTTCAGTTTGATTCGTAAACTGACTTCAGAAGCTGTTTCAATAGTGTATTGAGGATCCACGATTTCTTAGGCGATCGTGGTGGCCAAGGTCTATGCGATGTTGATCCATGAAGGCTAACGATGCTCTGGCAACATGCGGTCTGGCATTATCTTGCTGAAAACTCGGGTTTTGGTCAAGATTATGCTCAAGGTCGCAATTGGGTTTCCCACACAAACCTCACAACTCGTGGTGCTGTTGAACATTTTTGATAGAGCAAATTGTATTCGATGTCTTGTTTTGGACAGGATGGCAATGATCAAGGTCGTGTCTAAGGTGATACTCAGCCATAAAACTTGTTTCTCTTTTTATTTCCGATGAGAAAAATATTCACTTGATCTAAAAAGGACCTTAAAGGTTGTAGCCAAGGTCATTGTTTATGACACAATCATTTTGCTGCCTCAAAGCCCTAAATTTCTTTTTAAACTTTTTTTCTTGAATGCGTGGTTTGCGAAATATTTAGGTTCGAGGATAAAATGGGACACCGTGTATAAATGTAAATGTCTGTCCCATCAGTGAGCATCACGTCTGAAGCATGGTTTTATCCGCCTAAATATAATATGTGGTGATCAAAAAGTATGAATAGATCAAAGTATCTCGAAAACTGCGTTTCCTTGAGAAAAATGTTGTAAAACAAAGTTGTAAGGTATGGAAAGATTTATCTAATGGTGGACTTGATCATGACCTTCAAGATCATTTAAGGGCAAGGCAGTTTTTTTAAATGAAACCACTAGTTTTTGCACCGGAAATGTAAAGAGGGGCAAACTTTAGGTTAAAGTGTGTCTTTGCCGATGACATTAACCATGCATGATATTTTGTCTTTTAGGATATCTGAGAGTGTTCAAAAAGTTGGGATAGGTCGAAGTACCTCGGAGAACACTTTTCATACAGAAAAATGTGTAACAGAATTGTAAGCTTTGAACACATTCATCTTAATGGCAACCTTGAACATGAGCTCGACTATCACCCTCAAGTTCATTTGAAGCTCAAGACAGTTTTCTTAAATGGAGGTGGTAGACGGTTTCAGATTGTCGAACGAGGAGGTACCATCAGGCTTATTTCTGAGGCGGGGTCAGATTGTGAGCATGGCACATGCATACATGTTCCGTCGCTAGAGTGAGACGTCCAAGTCTTCCCCTGTATGTCCTAATAGCACCCATGTTTACTACCAAAGTAATTATTGCATTACTTTGAATATTGCATTTCTTTCTTCGAAACCAATCTGCTCAACACTAATGCCAAACGAATCCTACAGGTATACTTTACACCACGACCATGCGAGCGAAGCCGCGGGTTCAGTCCAGTTACTAATAATTATTGTTTACTATTAGTAAGTACAGTCTATTTTTGACTGAAATGATTATTGTTGACTGTATGCACGCAACCCATTACTTTGACAGCTTGAAAGTACCAGGTTACTAGATGAATTGGAATGTTTGAAAATGAGTGGTAAGCAAATCGACGTCTATATAGCAAACTATCATGTAGCGCATTGATTCCCAAAGTGATCTATATCGACCCCTAGGGGTCTATGACAACCTGCAAGGGGTCTACGTCAGCGAAAAAAAATGTGGGAGTCCATGAAATGAATATGGGGCTCCACGATAGTGGATCTCAACACATACACTGATAGTACCTATTTACTTACATCATACTATCTTATAATATCAAAACATATACATTATAAAAGTACCTATGAAGTAAAAAATTTATTATATACTCGTATACTAAGTGACATATAAATCCGAACACCCAGTTCAAATGGTTTTATTTTAATAAAAGTTGGTGAATGTATCTATCTTGCTGTAAATAACAAGTGAAAAAATTTTCAGCCTTATCAGTTGGACATTCCGGTTTTTATACTGCTTTTTTTAATTCACTAACGCTCTAAAAAATGAATATTTCAGCCGCAGTAAAGAATCAACGTTGGCGGATCGGTTACGATGCCTAGAGTACGGAGACCTGTTCGATTTCGTCAACTTAGTGAGTTTGATAGGGGCCGTATAGTGGGACTTCGGGAAGCTGGACTTTCTTTTCGGGCAATTGCAGTTAGAGTGCAAAGAAGTGTAGACACTGTGGTTAGGTGTTGTCAGGCATGGCTTCGAGAAGGCCGTACGCAAAGAGATGGTCGTGCCAGGGTTAGAAGGCGACGTGGTGAAAGGAGGAATCCACAGTTTTTTGTTAAAAGACATGTTCATCACACTGTTAGAGTTTGGGGTGCTATAGCTTATGGTTCCAGGTCACCTTTAATCTTCATCAGAGGTAACATGAACGCGCAGCGTTATATCCACGAAGTTCTAGAACCCATCTTTTACCCTATCTTGGCACCCTGGCAGATCCAACTTTCCAACAAGATAATGCCCGACCACATGTTGCAAGAGTCACTATAGACTTCTTTCAACATAATGATGTCACATTGTTACCATGGCCACCAAGATCTCCCGAATTATCCCCAATTGAGCACGTGTGGGATATGATGGGTAGGAGATTGCTCAATTTGCAACGTCCTCCTCAGACTCTAGAAGCACTTCGAGAGGAGTTGGTGGTTGCCTTGAATGAGATACCACACGAGGACATTGACCACCTGATCAGAAGGCGCGTTGGAGAATGCGTAGCACATCAGGGTGCATCTACATATACACATTTTTAAGGGTCAAAGGGCTTTAAAGCAGTGCAATCATTTTTATCATTTACTTATTATGCTTCATTAAGTACTTATACAAAATTTTATCAAAATAAAACCAGTTAAACAGGGTGTTCGGATTTATATGTCACTTAGTATATGTTTATAAAATTGTGTAAGTTGTAGGATGTTGGTATTCGTTTTGTGGTCGCAATACATTTTGAACTTGTAAAAACCGGAGAGT